ACTGAACTCAGATATATATCCACTTAGTTTTTTTCATGGTTCTTTTTAGTTGGATGTCTAGTGTAGTTTTGTCTCTTGATTATACTGACTGGTCTCAATCATTGATGGTGCCAGTCTATAAGAAAGGACAAAAGTCCTCCTGTGACAATCACAGAGGAATTAGTTTGACTAATATAGTGTCTAAAATATTAGCTTCAATAATACTTCGACGTCTAACCAAAGCTCGTGAAGAGCAGACTAGAGAAAACCAGGCTGGTTTCCGACCTGAACGTGGTTGTATAGATCAGATATTCACACTACGTCAGGTCCTAGAACATAGAAACACATTCAGAAGTCCCACAATGGTAGTATTTCTCGACCTTAAGGCGGCATAAGGCTCTGTTGATCATGAGGTCCTATGGCAGTGTTTGTCTCTGAAAGGAGTACTAAAGAAGTACATCAACTTTATAAAGGCTCTCTACTCGAACACAACTGGTCGAGTGAGAGCTTATGGTGAACTGTCATCAGAACTGATTACCTCAAGTGGTGTTCGTTAGGGCTGTCCACTCTCTCCATTCCTGTTTAACTTTGTCATTGACGTGCTTTTAGAAATAACACTTTCCACATCTGACTTTCCAGGGGTTGAACTTCTACCGAAAGATTCACTTGTTGACTAAGAGTATGCCGATGACATAGATCTATTTGGTGAAGACGCTGACAGAATGCAGAGTCTGCTGACCACTCTAAGCAACAATGCAAGCATGTTCGGCATGCGATTTTCTCCCTCGAAATGCAAAATGTTGTTTCAGGATTGGGTTGCATCGACACCCGAACTAGTGATAGGGAGTGAAGTAGTTGAGCGTGTCGACCGCTTCACTGGCCAGTAAGAGTAGAGGATATTCGTAGGTTACTAGTATTTGACCATAGGTGTCTTCGAAGCATTGCTCGTATATCCTGGGACCACCGAGTAAGTAATGCAGTTGTTAGGAAACGGGTACTAGGTAAGGATGGCAAACCAATTGATGAAGTAGTGAAGTTTCATCAGTTGAGATTTCTGGGACACGTGTTACGTATACACAACCACCGACTGCCCCGACATGTGATGTTTTATGGTATAGGAGTAGGTTGGAAGAAAGCTAGGGGCGGCCAGACCAAAACATGGCACAAATCCATGAAGTCTCTGACAAGTGGACTGAGTCATGTTGGTAGGTGTAGACTACTTGGTTGGAGACCGCGAGATGATAGCAACCGATGGTTAGAGACCTTGAATGACATGGCTCAAAATCGTTTGCAATGGAGCAGGTGCATCCACTCTCAAACTCTAATCTTCTGAATTCTTCATGTCCTTTATTTTCTTTCCGAATCTATTCCACTGGACTATACTCCTTAAATAACATCATCAAACCCTAGTGTTCCCTATCACTACTTATACTTTCACTACCTCTACCACTACGGGATTTGAATCGATAACTGAATCTCTGTGCTAATGTGGTGTGGCAACTTGAACTGATGTACGTACATAGGTACGAAGTTCCACGTTGTTACTGACTGACTGTTGCTTAATTAGGATTCCTTTTCTGTTTTTAATACAAACTAATTTCCATATACTTCAAGTGATTAGTTTTAATTATACTCTTAATAATCTTTTGTTGACGTTCTTCTCATATATTATATCATTGTTAATTATTTATTCACATGGTTGATTGACGTAGATTAAGTGGAAAAGTTTTTAGATGTATTAAGTAGTGAAGTCTAATGGAGTGCAAGATAGAAACAAAAATAATAGTTGCACCCTATTCTTAACATTATCATTATACAGATAACCCTCGTTTTCTCTACTTTATACGCAATCACATATCGGCGGAATCGTTCATCTATTTGTCTCCCCAATGCATGTTGTGGTTGGTTTCAAAACTTAGAATTTGAATGCATCTTTAATGGTATACTATAATTTAACCTTTTCCTCATATTGCCTCAAATGAAAAACGGGAACTATGAGTATGGACAAATTATACAAAATCGAATGAAATTCTACTTGTGAACATTTGTATTACGAAATCCAGTAGAGTAATTATTTCTTGATGTAGCCTATAAATTTTGACCCGTTATCATAAAATGAACATATTTTATACTCGAAAAATTTATTTGGTGCTCATTAAATACCTACTTTATGATAATCAGTAGTCTCTTGTTTCACTGAAGATCCGTTGTCCATAGCACTTCTACTCTTGACGGTAAATTACTCCTAAATGTAACCTATTTCTTCGGATAATTCGACAAATGCTATAAATATAAAAAGGAATACACTTTAGACCTACTTTTAGCTACTTGATAAGTAGTTTACGGAATCTTTCTGATTGTTTCTAAGTATTTTATTTTACTGGAAGTTGTTCAAATTTAAATTTCTTATATTCTGAATCAGTAGAATATATGATTCTTCAAAGTTTCTGTACTTTCTACCAGTTGATAATAACGTTCATCCCTGAAGTTCAACTTTTGTGTTTTTTTTTAAAAAAATTTACTTATACAATTTGACGAACGATCTTAAAAGTGTTTAAAGAAACAAAATCATTAAGATTAAAACTTATATTTTCTTTGTAAGTTTGTTCACTTTTAAGATAGATTTCAAATTAATTTTCCGTTAATATTAAAGCCTCTACTTATCACCAACTCGTAGAAAAGACCTATCTCAATTAGTATGTTTTTATTAATACCTATTTTGTATTTATGTCGATTTTAAAAAGTATTACAGCACACAGAATCAAAATTGTAAACCGAAACTATCGTCCACTCGCCATGTAGCTTTATTTTTCCTTTTGTAACAGTCATTCTACGTGAATCTTACAGGAAATTTTTTATCATATCACTTCTAGTACGACTAGTTATTCACTATCTCCAAAAATTTTAAGTAATTTTTAGTTTTGTGTTATGTAAATAAAATTATGAACCACTTATGGCAACCACGGTTTCTCATAGTGACATTTTTCCTTCTAAGTTAAACATATATAACCTCTTTAATTGGAATCCCGTAAGAAATATTTTTGTCGTATGCTCATTTCTATGTTTGTAAGTAATATATTTTGACCAAAATACTTAGAAATTACTTCAGCCATTGTTTTTTTGTACCAGTGTATCCAATTTATGTACAGATGTTTAGTGGACAATTTGAAAATCATGGGATAGTGCGGTAGCATAAAATCTTTCCTCATATTTCTGTTCAACTTCAAGGGACCACCTCCATATACGTAATTCAAAAATGAAATTAGCTGTGGGCTAGTATCGATCCCCATGCTTATATCATAACTGACTGTCGAAGTATATTAGTCACTAATTCCTGTACAGTCATTAAACTAAATGCTCAATACTAATGAAGGTTAATTGTGGTGTCCCTAAATATCTTCGCTCAGAGTTTTCAGCATTCATTTTGTAAGGAAAGTCAACAAGGACGATGCACAATTAAGGTTTGTAATTTTCAACCGACTGGCTTTGAACGCCTTGTATGAGAAAGAAATTTACAGTGTAACGTCACTCTGTTTGGTCGCTTCAATGTATTTTAGGATTGGTAAACTAAGCTTTGATCAATACTTGGAACAGTCTTGGTTAGTATCGAGAAGTCACTTCATGTCTGAACTGCGTTATATTCCATGAACGCTGGTATTTTTAGTTGGTAACGGCACGGTTAAGTAACCTGTTCGATAATAAACGCTTTATTTTATGTACGTATAATCGGAATCACTAACATTTACTCAACAACAGTTATAACATGGCAACAAAATTTTAATATCTCACGATATTTTTTAAATGACAACCTAGTCCAATTATTGAACCATTCACACGATAATGTATTGATCAGCATTCATTATCTCATTTATACACGAAATAGCCTAAAGCATTCCCCGATATATAGAACTCTCATTTTCAAAATATTCTTAGTCATTTGTGATATCTAAACACATTTATTCGTCAGTATGAGTTGTCAAGATTGTTAAATTTCATTGAAATCATGAACGGACCAATGTTAAGTCCTGGGCTCGAGTCCCGTATGCGGTATTGTGGATATGCAATATTGATAAGTCCCATAATATGACCAAACAGCCATCCAGTGCTTATAGATTCTCAATGGTGGTCTCACGTTGATCGGTTCGTGATTTCGTTCATTTATATTTTGTAAGTCGTGTTTTTTAGTGTCACCGAACAGTTACTGAAAATCGAAGAGAATTCTGTGTAGTGACTCACTTCACTGACTGATGATTTAGTGGGCTAGTCACACATCGACCAAATGATAAACAAATGCTTTTGACCAAGTTTAAGCTCCCTTTTCTAAGGAGCGAAACACGCTGCTAGTTGAAAATGTGACCTCTTTTGTGAAGGGAAATATATGCTTGTTTATGATTAAGTGTACATATATTCTCTACTCGGTTTGACAAATAAAGCATTTTTCTAACTGGCTGTCCTCTCACCCAACTAACCGGTTGGGGTTGCGTATATTAAGTTTATGTATCAGCGTCATAATCGTATACTTTGTAACACAATACTGACTTTTTCCAGGCTTAGGGTCTTATTATTAATGCATCTTACTGTCAAACCAATGAATTTTGTTTTCACGCTTCTTGTTTATCTACCTCAAAGTGTTTGTAACCCTTCGATAAACCGGACTAAAAACTTAAACAGGTGCATACCGATAAGTTTCTTAAATTTAGAACACATAAACTTCTAGATCCTAGTATAGTCTAATAGCAATAAAAAATGAATATCTCAGTGTGGATGACAAAAATAGTAATGCATTCAAAGTTCTAATTAAGAATAAAATAACTGTTTCGGTGCCATGTATTTTTTTCACTAGAAAACTTTATTCGCTATTTGGCTATACTAAGTAAATTGCGTCGACCAGCCACTCTACCTGATACCTTGCATGTAAATTTGTCACTAAAAATGATGTATCATATTATAATATTGTTGTTTGTAAGATATACCAATTTCTAGGTAGAATAATTATTATTTTGATTTGACCATTCTTTCAGATGAATTACAAGTTCAATCCAAACAGTTTCAGGCAGTTGCTGGTCGTGTACGAAGAAAATACTTTTGGCAAAATATGAAGGTAAATTGATAGGGAGAAAAAAAATAAATGTTTCGTTAAGGATAAGTTAGTAGTTGAACCTTTTAATTTTATGCCATTTTAATAAGATTTTCCATACCCGAATGTATTATTGGATTATTAACATTTTCTATTTGCTCGAAAAGAAGTAATAGATATTTTAGTTCTGTACTGTCTTACAAACGCGCTCTAGGCTACACAATTCGGTATTACTGTTGCCAGAAATACAAGAATGTAAAAGTAAATATGATGCATTAACTGGGTAGATGGACACAAAGAATTCGACTGGTAAGGTTAGCTAACTCTATTCCAAACAAGTCGCATATTCGCCCTAATGTTCATAACAAGCTATTAATGTAAAAACGTTTTATGTTCTCTGGTTATCATAGAACCACCTTTTCTAACGGTACGTCATTGCCTTATGCACAAGTGGTTTCGGAAAGTAACCAATTCAGTTTTAACACCTAGATATTATCTTAACCTTCACTTCATGCATAACATTTAGGAATTTAAATGACTCGCCTTTCAAATATATCCTTACACACTTCAATGATTATATTTTAAACGCGATTTCATCTTATATATTTGCGCAATTCTATGTGCACTTCCTTTATGCTCTTGTTCATCTTAATTTCAGTCTTTACCTCTGTAGCTTGTATCTGTTGAATCTGCTATTCATCTAAACAGTTTACAAGTAGTTTCTTCTTGAATGTAGTATTTCAGTCGTGTAATCGACGTCGTTATTTTATAGATTACATGTATCGCCGAAACTTTTCACTGATTCTGTAAATACCTCGGAAATTTATTGATATCTTGAAACCTCCATAAAACCGAAATCAGGTAAACTGATCACACACAATCACTTCACCTGCATTATTTCAAATCATTAGTCAACTTCTGTAGGGCTATTTACTCTGACCATCCCTCCTCAACTTTTCATCGATAGCACTGTGAAAACAGCTCTAAATTATGTAGTAATGGTTTAGTATTATTAACAAAGTATATAGATGACAACTTCTTTCTGTACAATGAATCGCATTTTATTAGCTTGTAATAATCGTCTCTGAGTACACTCTATTATATCAAAATGCTTCTAAGTGGAAGGGATGAAGCTGTGTTTGTTCTTATACTCAAGAGTAAACTGTGATAAATAGTTGAACTGTTTGTGCATTTGAGTAGTTGTATGGACAGGTGGTCTAGTAGAAGTTGTTGATTTACGTTTATCGAAAAAGTGAGCAACTCATATCAGTTTGAATCGTCTTTGATGTTGTTCCGAAGTCAGTTTGATCATAAATCATTAGGTGCATAACACTGCGTTACAAGTAGTTTCGACATGCAACTATGAAGCCTATTCTTTCTGGACTAGGAAAGTTCAAAAAAATTTCTTTCTAATTATCAGTTTTCTAAGTTATAATCTTAATCGGTGACAAAACGTTAAGCAATACTAAAGTACGCCAACGAGTTTTCGTCAAAAAATAATTATCACTATTCTGTCGGCGATATAATCATGAATTCATTTGATTCATGACGTTCCAGTGGCTTAAAGATCAACCACATACCCTGGTACAACCGTAGGTGGAGAGTCCGCTCTTCCTCTCGAAATGCTCTCACATGACCACGTGTATACAACCACTGCCAAGATAGTCCTACCCATTGCCTTCTCATGGCGGGTGCGTTCTTTACGAAAGCGAGAGGAAGAAAAGCGAATGTCTGGCGTTTTAACCGGGTTGGTGGATACAAAGGATCCACCTAGAGAAGTTATAAAACCCTGATTCAAAACCAGTGTTGTACTTGGGCTCCAGGATCCTAAATGAACAAATGGCGTATGAACCAGTCTCTGGTCACTGGTAACCATGGGACTGCATCTCTCAGCGTTGCTCCACTGCCTTGTGGACCAGACCTTTAGGTCGAAGGCTCTAGGTGTAGTCCCCTAGGAAAGCCACCCGCTTCGGTTTAGGCACCCTGGCATTATCATAGCCCATACACAAATCAAGTGTCTTGTGTGGTGCATATGTCTTCGGTGCCCCTTTGTACCAATATTTATCTGTTCGAGTAAATAAATTAGTCTGGGGATTCTGGGAATATAGTAAAGACACGAGTATATAGCAAGTCTTTCAATACAGTATCGTAGAATGAAGGCTGGGTGTATTTTTTTAAAATCTGTTATTTTATCGTAACTTATTTATTAGTTGTAAAGATCATGCTACTCAGTCGTTTGAGTTATTATCAAATACAACTGAAAATCATCAGTGGTTATCATATTAAAGTTGCTTTTGGGTTTAAAAAAAGTGTAGATATTTCTTTTGTAGGGAAAGAAAGCAATCTCAAATACTTACGCACACAGATTGTATTCGTTTTGTTCCTTGAAACCACTTTATCATCGTCCTTTTTTTCATTTGTTCTTAAATCCGTAACCTCTTTTTGTATTAGGCACACTTTTTGGCGCTCTGTTCTATTAATATAATTTTGATTTTTCATAATAAATAATATGAGTATCAGTAGTATCATAACCAATGACTGACTTAAAAATTTCAAATAGACTGAGAATTGAGTACAATGTTAATAATCAAATAATAATTTATTTGTAATATCTCAATTAGTAGAAATTTAGATTTCTGACGTTTCACAACTTTATTCAAATAACGTATTCAGAGTAAACTTAAATTAGCTTGCAAAACATCAGTAATTCTAATTTCTATTCATTAGAACACCACAAATCAATCATTATTCGATTATTGTATGTGTTATTTGGTAAATTGTTGAGCCATTATTTCGATTCGGAAACCGCAGCGTCATTAACATCTCATTTAGTTTATGCTTATGCTTAGTTTAACTGTTTCAGATGGGGTTTTTATAGGACTTTTAAAAAAGTAATTGCTTGCAATGCACTATTTCAGACTGAAATTTGTAATCAGATATAAAAAAACTGAAGAGGTAATTCAATAAATATATCGTTCGACTGTCTTACTTAAGGTTTCTTTTGGAAGTATAAAGCTGTTAATTACTAGATCACAACAAATACACTCCTCTGTCATTGATTCTGTTTCACCATAGTGTCATGAACTTACATGTCACTTTATATTGACCTGTAGCTTATTGATTTGAATAAATAATTTTCAATTAGTTAATACCGAATTCGAAAGCCTACATCATAGGTAGTCTGGAACACAAACCCTTACGTGTTCACTGACTCACATTAATTTTTGAATGTAAGCTCAAGTATCCTCATTTGTGAATAATATATACGATTCTGCTTATTTATTTATTTTTTCTTTTTATTTAGTTATAAGTAACTATGTTGTGCAGTTTGACATATTTCCTTCCTTAACAAACTGATATGTTGTACATTCGCATTTCTTCGAGTTATCATTTTATTTGTTTTTTGACGATTATTGATCATAAACATTGTCACTGAATCAATAAACAGAGAGCGTTACAGTATAAAATTTTGCTATGATTGATTTATTATGTAGAATATTTTAATTGATAGATGTGTTTGTCTATAAGTTGCGTATGCATCTGCTATTCTTATCTACTTTTTATGTCAGTTTGCTTGAATGACTTAAATGATTCATAGGGTTTTTTTCTTAATTTAGTAAAAGCAGTCCGTACATGTTGATTGAATTATGTTAAACTGTAAAATGTTTAGTTACATAGAAATTTGGTTATTTCTGTTTGTAAATAAAAATTAGATGGATTATTTGGTTTTAGGTTTATGTAGTGTGGATTTTTCTCTTTACTGAAGATATTTTTGTGCTGTATTCGTCTCATAGGACAGCCTAATGCTTAATAGAATCATCGACACTAAGTTTAGGAACTAAGGTCGATTCTCTCACAGCGGTGAAATCTTAGTCTATTGGAATTAATTTTAATCATATCTTCTTTCCAACCGAAAAGATTCAGTATTGAATGAAATGTTCCCTTTTTCATTAAAAAAACATCTATATATATACTTCAATAAAATGCTGTAACTCAATTAATTCTGTTTCTACTTCGAATTACCTTACAAGTAATAATTAGCGTATCATAATAACTTAAGCAATACAACAAATACGGTTAACAGAAAAATTGCTTACGTACAATTAAAATCACTTATTTTGAATACATTGGGCTCACCAAAAATTCTTTCCAACGGTATGTGTGCGTGATTGACCAAAATTAATTTCGACTTTCTGAGAAACGATATATATATATATAACCATAGGAATCGCTCCCTATCTAGTATCGGTGATAAGATTATTTTGTATGCCGTAAAAGGTATTTTGTCTCAAAAATTTACATCAATCGTAAGTGCCCCAACTAACAAGAAGTTATTTTATATTACAAGCTGTAAGTAATTCACTAAAGCACCAAGAACTCGTTTATGACTAATAATTCCCCGCTACATTACATACATAACAATGAGAAGTGATATCTTTAAATCCTATTTCTATCCTACTATTTTCATGCTCAAGGACGGATGAATTGAAATGTAGACACTTTTGAACCGCCTAGAAGAATCTACTTCCAGGTGAATTTCGCTAATGAATAATACTTATTTTTGCAATAAAAGATGAAGCAATGGCTAAAGTTTACCATCAACACTGATGTCATTGTATAAGTTCAAAAAATCACCCTTCTAAGATGATCTAAGGGAATTTCGCAATTAAAAAAGAAAGAAAACAGTAGATCGAGTTTGTGAAATTCACCACTGTAATATGATTAAAAACGTAAAGTTTTATTGCCTAATCTGTTTTTAAACTTTCTTATAAATGAATCCTCTTAGATTGCAGTTTTGTACCTAACAAATATAATATCCCTAGTTATTTTGGTCAACAATGGGATTTCGCAAAAACATTTCCTGTTTGATTTTATTTTAGATGTGGTTTATCATTGGAGGATTAGCTGTTATAATTCTTGTGGTTATTATTGGTGAGTTCGATATCTGCTTTTTCAATAGGTCAATCAATTTTTGTGATTAGGTATGTAATGTATCAAGGTTATTATAATGTATGGATGTCAGATTATTTCTCAATTGGAAAATGGTTGCTTCGTTTTTCGGTATCTAAGTTAATTTAAAGAACGCTCCGTATGTCATAACTCCGCCTGTAACTCTCTTAGGGCTACTGCCAGTCCCAAGCTCGGGCAAAGGAAAAGGGTTGGGCGTGGGGTCGGAAACCCAATCCAGTAGAAAATAACCTTGCTAATAAACGCTTACCAGGATAAACAATTTAAACCATTTAAACTCTATCCTTCCAGTTGAAGGAGGAATTATGACGTCGCATGATGAAAATCGAGTATTCGGAAGTCACAAGGCCGATGGTCCTTCTAACAACCAGAACAATTTTTATAGGTACATGGAACTTCCGGACAATGTGGGAGACCGGGAGGACCAGTCAAATAACGACGGAAACAAGGAGATACAAATTGGCGGTTCTTGGAATCAGCAAAACTCGTTGGACCCAAGCTGGACACCAAAGTTTAGGTACAGGACAGAATCTGCTTTACTCCGGTCACGAAGAGGAAAATGCTCCATGCACTCGGGGAACTGAACTGATGCTGTCCAAATAAGCAAGAAATTCACTTAATGGATGAGAATCTCATGGACTCTTGATCATCAAAGCATTCCTCAAAACAAAGGAGGGAATCACGATGAGTATTATCCTATGTTATACACTCACCAATAATAGCAATTAGGACAATAAAAATTAGTTTTCTGTGAGGTTACAATAAATCGTAGCGAACCGTCCAGTAAAAACCTGACAATCATTGTGGGAGATCTCAACGCCAAAGTTGGAATCGACAACAACGGTTACGGAGATACCATGGGACGACATGGACTGACTGTCAGCGGGACATAGATTGGGTTAAAGCGTCTTCCGTGCACGATTGTGTTGCTGCATGTTGATCGGCTATTTCTCATCCAATCAGCGCTAGTCGATATTTGGAGGAAACTCTGGAATCTTCTCATGTAAAAACTAGAGATATACTAACGTTTTTCTCATTGTCCTTCTCACTTCCATATACCCTTGTTATTTAGAATCGAATTTCTTTCCTGTCCAACCATGTTCTTATTTGGGGACTGGTAAAAAAGGATCATATTGGTGACAGATTTTCAAAATTACGTTCATTCAAATACACAGTTATAGGTGCACAATGTTCCCACACAAACGCATACACAAAGCTGCGTTTGTCTCACCGGACCACACTACAGACAACCAGATCACTGAAAAATTCAAAAAGTGAGTGGAGGGCGTGAAAAGCAGGAGACGAGCTGACATAGCTTTTGATCACTACCTGGTTGTGGCAAAGATAAAACTGAAGCTAAAGAAGGACTGGACAACTGGGGAAGCAACATTACAAAGGTTCAATACAGCCTTCCTCCGAGATACTGACAAACTTAACGAATCCAAGATAGTTCTCAAGAACAGGTTCCAAGTCCTACAGGGTCTACTCAAAGAAAAAGAAACTACTATGGAGAACAGCTGAAAAGGGATGAAAAACCATCAACTTCAACGTGTTAGGAGGTGCTGGGTCGCAAGAATCATCATCATAAGGAAAAAAATCTCTATGGAAACCCTGGACGAGGTTCAGGGAAAAAAGAACAAAATGACAGCAACCAACAAGAGTCAAACAAAAGCAGAGAAAGTCAAGGCACAATCTGAATACACTGAAGCAAACAAGTAAGTGAAGAAGAGCACCAGAGCCGACAAGCAGAAATACGTGGAAGACCTAACAACGACAGAGGAAGTATCTGCAACAGAATGAAATATGAGACAACTGTATGACTCGATGAAGAAACTGCTAGAGAAATATAGTAAACCAGGGAGACTGGTCAAGGGCAAAGAAGGCAAGCCAATCACTGAAATTCAAGGACAGAGGAATAGATGGGTATAATACTTTGAGGAACTCCTGAATGGACTAGCTTCATTGAATCCACCGGGTGCTGAAGCAACACCTACAGGCCATCCTATAGATGTCACTTCAACAACGATCTAAGAGATCAGGACGGTCATCACACAAATCAAGAGTGGGAAAGCAGTAGGACCTGACAATATACCAGCCGAAGCACTGACGTCAGACATAGAAGCAACTGCAAGCATGCTCCACACTATTCAGGAAAATTTGGAAGGAGCAACAAGCGAATCTGATAGACTGGAAAGGAGACCTCATCAAGATACCAAAGAGAGGGGAACTGAGCAAATGTGAGAACTATAAAGGCATCATATTACTAGCAGGAAAAGCTCTCAACAGAATGTTGCTGAACCGGATGAAAGACTCAGTAGACGCCCAACTTCAAGACCAACAGGTTGAATTCCGTAAGGATCGCTCGTGTACAGAACGAGTCGCGACACTGCGGATCATCGTTGAACAATCAGTTGAATAAGACTCGTCACTATAAATCATCCTCCTTGACTATGATGAAGCATTTGATGGTGTGAATATAGCAGAACATTATGGGAACTTAGACACTATGGAGTATCTAATAAGATCGTCAACATCATCCGGAATTCATACGACGGACTACAATGCGAATTCATTCATGGAAAACAGCTGACAGACTCTTTCCAAGTGAGGACAAGGTTGTCTTCTGTCCCTCTTTTTTCTCCTACTTGTGTTTGCCTGGATTCCTAAGACCTACATATTTCAGGGGCAGCATGGTATAAAATAGACATGTTGGAAGCAACCAGACGATTTGGGCTTCACAGATTATCTGGCCCTTGTATCCCATACACAACAACAAATGCAGGTGAAGATAGCCAGTGTAGCAGTAGCCTCTGCATCAGCAGGACTCAACATACACAAGGTAAAAAACAAGAACTTTAAATAAAACACAGAAAAGACCAACACACAAATTGATACTAATATGACAGATGTACTGGTAGTGATAATAATAAAAACAGTTTGAATAGATAACTCAACACAAGTAAATACACATCAAAACAACAATAAGTTAAAATTAGGTTGTAAGAAAACAATATGTAAATGATCAATTTAAATTGTATGCATATATCCTCTGTTTGAGTAAAATGTCACTGGTCGTTCAAAAGCTGACAAAGACTAGCTGAAGTGTGATTTATAACACGATAATAATACTGACTTGTCGCATATTAGCAGTGGTTATATACCCGAAGTACGTTATCAGTTCGCCAGCATTGCACTGTGATTCCTTTTTAGTTTTTTACCTAGTTTTTCCGAAAACTTTGATTGTCTTAGTTGATCCTCTGACTAGTAACCTTTATATAAGTAGTCTTGGTGTTAAACTTCATTTACGACTCGATATCTTGAGTTCCAGATTTTCAAACAATTCAGCTAAGTTTATTCGAATATTCGTCAAGATTAGAACGAATAGTTTGACAGATATTGGGCGCCGAGTATAGAGAAGTCATTATATATGTAAATTATATTTGAAATAATCTCAGCGATTGAAATTTAAATAATTCCAACGTTCCGTCCAGCTAACTTGTCTGGACTTCTTCAGGGTAATAATCAAAATCATAACTGTACTTTGTTAGACCAATCAAATTTGGATGTTGATTTTTGTAACATAGGATATAATGAGTCAGTTAACTCCAATTTCATGTGAAAAGATTCAGCTACATGGAAATAATTACCTGTAACAATATCAAGTGTATGCGTGTATGTGAGTGCGTAAGTATGTATGTATGTGTGAGATTAAATTATTGATATTCTGTGTTATTCTGCTATGCATGGAAGGATAAGAAAATAACTAAAAGTGCAAGTTCAAGGTTAAATAATTGTTAATGAATCATCAATGTACATGTCAAAATTTAAGAATCCAACTGATACATCATTGTATTGCTAAAGCCTCAATGAATTCAGTCAGCGATAACGATGCATTTGACATAAACAGGTTGAATAATAAAAGATAGAGTTCAAATTACTTGTCCAACGATATTTGCCAGGTATTCGCCAGTTGAATACCATCTTTTCGGTTCAGGCTGTTCTTGTTCGCCCATATATACAGCGCTTCTGCTGTCTGTCTTTCCTTATGGGTGTTAAAACCTTTCTGAAGTATTTTGGCCCCTTCAAAATCGATCTTGCGTCCTGTTTCTAATGCATGTAACGCTATCGCCGATTTATTCTCTAGCTTCTTCAACCGAGGATTTGGGAACATTTTTCAAACATTGTTTGTGTTCCTTCAACCTTACATTCAATTGTCTGGATGTTTTTCCAGCTTCAGCTAAGTAAATCTCCTTTTCGACGATATCATTTACTCAAGCCGTGTAACCATATTCATAGCTGATAGATTAACAAATATAACAATCTGTTGGGAAATAGGCTGGTTACACCATATCATAGGTAAAAGAGGGCTATATAATGATCGCGAATTTGAGGAAAAATAATAAGATGAAATCAAATGTGTGGAAGATGATAGAGCACTTGACGAATATGAGAAATAATTAAAAACCTGATATTAGTTTATTCAACCAACTCCGATTTAAATATTGTAATTCATCCGATCTATCGAGTATGATGTTTACGTACACGAACCTTGTCAAGGGCATTGATGTTACCATGCTGCACAAACCAGTGTAGCAGCAGCGCGTTCTCTGTTGTACCGTCAAACCCTATCATCTAATAAACGAAATCGTTACGAAAAGCACGAAGACAAATTTGCGCACTACGTCATCAATACATCTGGAAACTGCACTTCTATATACTATAGTCTGATTTGATTCTTCATAGGGCTTTGGTTCATCATTTGCATTTTCCGTGTCAATTATGATAAATACATTGCTGATTTTACGAAATTTACTTACTACTTGAACTTGATAAAAATAAATTATAGCCCATTTCTTAACAGATAACTGTTATTCCGTTAGTAAACTAATATTGGAAGTGACACACCTAAAAGAAAACAGGCTTTCCAATAACTAAATATACATATTGTGTAGATTTATAATATATTGTTTCATTCGCTTATCTTTCAGTTTGGTCCGTATCTAACAAGCATAGTTGAGGTAGTACATCCCAAATCTGTTCACGAACTGAATCTGGAACACATGAGTTTTGATTATGATTGCTTTATTTATTAAAAAAAACTTATGATCTCAGAAAGTATTTCTTCGGTAGTTGAAATGGGAGATAAATGCAAATTATTATCGATCTTCATACTAAATTTTCTTTGTCTTCGCATGTAACTTCGACGCAGATGGACAAATTGATAGATTTAAACATTCTTTACAGTTTGGATTTACTGGGCGACAAATTTGTTGGCCAAAACCGACTAGTAACCAATTAATTTCATCCCAGTGTTCCCTAAAAGCAATCGAAATTAGTTAATGAGTGTATGTGTATGACCATAAAGTCAAATAATTCCTGGTTTCCTGCATTACATTTCCCTATAAAGATCACTGGAGCTAATCATTTTGCCACATCTTGCTTTCATGGCTCATACAGTCATTTAAAAAATTTATGTAATTACTCCAGCTTCGAGGCTTTTTACTCAAAATAATGGGATAGATTCGAGAGATTTAAGCATGACAAAGACTTTTGTCGTACGTAACTTAAGAGGTCAATATTCTTTAGTCCCTGGACTAGTTCTTAACGTAAAAAATGTCACGAGACTAAAACAAAGATAAGTTATCTCCACATATTATAAATAACAAAAAACTCAGTTGTCGAGCGCTTGATCTATGGTTATTTTTAACCCTTGATCAGTGTTATCAACCCTTCCAGGGCCAATATTTTTGTTTATCATCTAATACTTAACAACACGAAAGTTTTGACGATGAGGGCTCTACAAGAAAGTGATTCCATCTGTCATGCAAACATGCATCATGCTAAACCGCTTAGGCAAAACATCATCGCAGTCTCCATCTGATGTTGTGTTGTGGAGTATGCTGAAGGCAGTTAGCAGGGTGTGTGGAGAATCTTTTGGGGTCATTAATCTAAGGTCTTGCGAACTCCTAGTAGATGTTATTTTATCAGACACTAAACATCCACCTCATTCATATCTACAGGTAAGACGAGACATCAATACATTAAAATCCATGCGCGCAAGCAAAGGTAAAAAAACAGCACAATACCCTATTTAGCAAATATACTATGTCAGATAGGGAATGAACATTTATCGTGACCAACAGGTTGTCAGAATTGACCTAGTTAGTAACTTGTATTCTCGAACATGTTCCTAATTGAAGAGGTACAGATTCAGATCTTAAAAAACATTTCGATTAGTCACCTTGTGATAAGAATCTTATATTGCACAAAAAACGTGTTACTGAATAAAGCCATCAATAATAAAATAATGATTATTGTTAATACTAAATATGTGGTCGACTTATTTGCTTTGTAACGTCTCACCAAGCCACATGGGTTTGGTGATACCAACCGTCTGCCGAAACCCGAAGAAGCGAGGCCCGCAATTACTATTTTCTGTAGCCACTTTGATGTTTAAAGGGCTTCGAAAACGCTCAACTGGTGTTTAATAGATTTCTATCCACAAATGACAAAACATAATAGTGAAATAATCAGATACTTAAAGTTCGGTTTTCATTAACGCACCCCTGGCTTTAGTGATCTATATACCTGTCCAGATTATCGCAAAGATAAAATTCCAACGAGAAAATTACAGATTAGCACGATACTGTTTCCCACATACATGAATTACAACTCTTTAGGTATTTACCAATTATATTCCAATTACTACCTTGGGAACCATTCTTCGAGGGCCAAACGAGTTTCTTCTGGAGATTTGGTTGGTTTTTTGCTCCATTTTAAACGATTAACAATTCGATGTACATGTGTGTCGACACCGATTCCAGTCACTTTTTTCCACGCACACTGCATTGCTAAATATGCCATTTTCGGACCGACACCTAGAGTGGTCAATAGAAAATGTAAACACATTAACCAGGCAAGGTGCATAACTCCTCAACAGTCTCTGGTATATCTGAGTTGTATTTTTCCTTTAAGATCTCGCATGTTTTCTTTATATTCAAAGCTTTTGTCTAAGAGAAGCTCTGGTGAACGTAGATGCTACCTTATAAAATCCCACTGGATATATTAATTCCTGCAAGTCTTCCGTCTTCATATTTGTCAATGTTGTAAGTGTGCACCCTCTCAACTTCAGACGCTCCATTGCAGCTGCCGTAATTTGATCTTTCGTCTGGCTTGACAACATAAGACTTATTAGTACCTGTAATCTGAATGTCTGTGAGTTTCAAAATATTTAGCAAAGGCGATCATACTTTCGGATGTTCTGTTTCATCAGCTAATCTTTCACAACCCATCGAGTCTACTGGAGCGTCGCGACTTTCGCGCATTTTCCGAATATTGCTGAGTTGAACACGCCAGTTTAGTGGTTCCCATTTACGTTTCATATGCTCCGAGACATCGTCCTCAATATCGCCTACTCCAACTTGTTCTTGAGACCGGACTCTCTTCGTCATTCACTTTATAATGGTTCAAAGGCTGGGGTTACCTGTGGCCAAAAACTGTACTCTATTAATCAGTTGGTAAATATGCATACTACCGAGTAAATGGAATTAAATAACTACTAGTTTTAACAAAGGTTGGTCAGATTAGATTATCGAATCAGTGCTTTAAAATGACAGCAGACAACATTTCAGTTCATTCGTGAAAATATGAATACACAAGTAATGTACAACGATATCACGTTAGGCTGACGTTACATATGAATCCATAGATTTGTAGTTGTGACCTGTCAAAATAGCTTTGTCACTTACTGATTAAGTACTTTAGTGAGAAATGTATATCAAAACCTTTCGTGTCCGTCATGATGTAGTAGTAATTCACTGTATTTATAAGCCCGGGAAGTGGCACACCGAGTCCATAGCTACCACATATTAAACAGAAATGTGATTCAGCACATTGTGGAATCCCATCGAGTTTTCATTATGATGAATCCCTCGCTACGGTTACTTAATCGTGTTTTCGTTTTCTGACCCGAGCTACCAACTTTGAGGAAACTCTAGAAGTCAAGTGACCGTCACCAATGTTTGGAAAAATATTGAGGTTTTTGTGCCATTTCTCCAAAATTTACCGAATGTTTACTATAGCGGCTTCCCCAAAATTGGGAGATTGGTGAACTGGAATTATTTTAGTGACTTGGATGGACATGCATTCTTATAGGATGTACTCCTTCAGTAAGACACTGTACAATTATCGGTGGTTTTACTGCTCAATAGGCAACAGTATATATATATATATATATATATATATATATATATATATATATATATATATATATATATTGTGGATTACTCAATATGGTTACTGTTGAACAACTACATTCTGACACAACACTAGACTGGAACACGAGCACAATAAAAGAATATGATACTTGAAAAGTTTCTTTAGTCATAAATTGTCGTTTCATACTGCTTCACAAACTACTCAAGTCGAATATTGACGAATCACCACGCAATCAGTTGTGAAGCGTATCGCAAAATTTCGAAATACGGATATTGGCATTCAGAGTACATTCCTTGCTCGACGTTCCTTCCAGGTACTGCTTACTATAAAACAAAGAATACTTAGGTCACTTCATGGATCTGTAACAACATGAAGCTGATAACAAACAACAATAAATGATCAGACGTAAAAGTGTGGAGAAATCTGACCAGTTGATTTTCATTGCTACCGTAATTCCATTTTAAGACAATAGAAAATATCCGAAAGTAATGCCATCTTAGTTATGGGCACTCCACTAAGCACAGTTTGCCAGCTAGATAACTTTGAGTTCACCCGTACTCTTTGTTGGCGCCCAACTAGGAAATCCTTTATCCACATCAATAGATTGCTTCCAATCTCGACATTTCTTAGCTTATGCAAAACCGGTTGTGCGGTACTTTGTCAAAAGCTTTGCTGAAGTCAATGTAGGCTACGTCTATAGATAACTTTTGGTTCTACTCTAAGACCATGCTGCTTCTCCGAAAGAATCGGTTTTCATCGAGACACCTTAACAGCTCCTTCCGGTAAACCGTTTCAAAGATTTTAACTACCACACTAGTCAGGCTAACGGGCCGTTAATTCTTTGGTTTATGTTTCGCACCTGTTTTGAAGACAGGACTTACTATGGCGTTTTTTCAGTCTTTTGGTAAACGATCCTGGGTTACGGAAAGACTAAAGCATATATTTGAAGGGTTCGCAACGAAGTTAAATAATTCTTTCAGTAGCCTAGGGTGCTATTTATCGGTCCCTGTAGATTTACCCATGTCAAGCTTATTTAGATAACCAAAGATATCGGGTTCCTTGACGGTCATGATTTCCAGTGTTTGTGTGGGGGTATTTGTATAGACTGACGGAAAGGGTGTTTCTATGGTATATACATTACTAAAAAATTCTGAGAATACTTGAGCCTTACTAAAGTCGTCCGTCACTAATTATGAGGCAGTACTGTCTCCCCGTAGTTCAGGAATACTTCCCCTTCGTTTTGTGCTTTGATGTGCATACGAATACAAACGTTTAGAACATTCTATGGATTTATTGCCAATCTTATCTCCGTACAAACTTTTAGACTTACGGAGAGCTGAAGCACAGGTGTTCCGAGCTTTTCAACACTGAGATTTTGTCTTATCAGTCCACAGTAACCTAAACCTACCCCACATCTTTCTTCTCTTGCGAAAAAGGATGCGAACCTCTCTACTGAACCATGGCTGTTTTGGTGCATTTATTCATCCACTCTGTTAAATAGAGTCTTGGCAGTATAACTGATGTCAGTCCGTGACGAAAACCATAAATCTAATTCCTAAGCCTAACCTTCAACGCTAAATCATAATCCATATTCTTCAAATTACTTTATAACACTTATGTAACCCTAGTAAGTAGATAGACCTTCTCAAGGTCACTAGTTTCGTTCAAAGGTTGTCTATAAATTATAGTCTCACCGTCTAGTGAAGTTTTAAAGATGCGACTTAGACATTTATTTGGTAGCCCAAGGCATAGATATCTGAGGATTTCTGGTTGCCGACATTTTTCAAGGAGGGAGCATGT